TGATTGTTTCACGGCGATGATACTCTCTGATTACAAATATGTATATACAGTCTTGTATTCTCACAATAAATTTAACATCTACTACCATTGTACACATTTACACAAAACTATTGCTACAGCATTACAACCATTGAAGTAATAAGTACGTGCGTGGTACGACGTCTGAGATTATATTATCCGTAGACTATTATAACGAAGAAATGCATGCGGCGCAGTGCTTTTAATTTACAAAGCTCAAGATTGGATGGCGTTTTAGGATACATTATTAAATCGAGATTAAATGCAAGAAAGTAGTCCCAATCCACTAATGTTCAGGCATTCTGGGAACATTAAAAAATAAGTGACGTAAGGAATTTTAGGTACTTTATTTTACAGTAGCGAGCAAAAATTGGAGTGTCTCTAGATTTTTGTTCTGCTTTTTGTTTTCGTTTCTACTCGACAAAAGGATGTACAGTAATATTTCTCACATTATCGTCTAGCTACTCCTACACCTAGGCATACGTGACTGCTACGCCTATGTTATCTTTCCCGGAGTAAGTCAAGCATGCGATGTGTGCAATGCGATGCGCGACGCGGTTCTTTTGATGAGAATTCACGACTTGACAGTTCATAATACAATAATATAACTTTCTTCTAATTGAAAATTTGTTTAATATATTGGTGAGTTTTTTCTGATTAAATTGAGATCAAACATGATATAAGTTTAACCATATTTACTCATGTAATATTAATTGAAAAATTGAATAATTTTGCGCCCACCCTATTTTCGGTTCCGCAGATTTCTGAAATAAGGAATTGAACGGTCATTTTGCTCAAAAATACATAATAGAAAAATTGTGAAAAATAAAAAGAACCATTGAAAATTTTTTTAAAACTTTTCCAAAAATATTGCTGAGTTGAAATATGTAATTTTTATCAAAATACATGTCTTCGCTACAAGTCTCTAATAAATTACAAAATTTATCAGATTGTCCGTAAAACCCGTGCATCCGTCCGTAGAACCTAGTCCCTTTCTTCACATTGTCGCTGAAACCTAGTCCCTTCCTTTACATTGTCGCTGAAACCTAGTTCCTCCCTTCACATTGTCACTGTGACCGTGGGCCGTGCCTTACATCCAGGCACAACTTGTACAGCATCCAAATTTTCCAGGCACAGCTTATGCATTCGACGGAAAATGTGAAGGCACAGCTTATGTATTCGACGGAAAATGTGAAGGCACAGTTTATGCATTCAACGGACAATGTGTAAAGATATTTCATGTATTTTTTTCGCAATCCGTTTTCGTAATTTATTCACAGCAATAATGAAATCAAATGAGTTACTCAATAAGTATTAATAAGTTACAAATGAGTTACTCAATAAGTATAAATATTGTTCAAATTATATCGTGTTTGATCTCATTTTAATCAGAACAATCTCATCAATATGTTAATAACTTTTTCATATAGAAAAAGTTAAAAATAAAAACGCTGGTGTTTAAATCGCTCGGTTGCCTCGACCCTCATTTCATCCTTCTCTTTTATTCGTTGTCCTTGTCTTCGTTCAGCAAACTACAAAGGCGGGCTAATCGTGTCGTCCTCGAAAACCGTGTCTCCTCTACCCAAACTGTCGCTTTTCGGTTTCGACCAGAGCGACAATGTGAGAGATATTACTGTATTTACAAGAGGGAAAACGACTACTACTTTTCAATTCTAATCTGTTCTACCTTTGGTTTCGGTCGATGCGTGTCCACTGCCTCAATTGGTAATCGAATGTGTTCCACCTTACAACCGTAGGCGACAGGCGTTAGTTTAATAATCGTATGTAGTGGCACTTGCAAATATGGTAATTCGTCTGAAAGAAAAATCAATAGCGTTACAAATTTATACAGTAATAATAATAATAATTATAAAAAGGAGGACTAAAGTCCTCAAGTCACGAAACAATACATTTTTTGCGTCATTAAACAATCTGGAACTCCGAACAGATTACGTATGATTAACGCTAATAAAGTTAAGTAATCTACGCGCAATTCATAAGAAATAAAATTATGTAAACAAGAACGGGGTGTCTTAAACTTCCGCCACACACGTAACTACGCCATTCCTGACATCTCCGTACACGTGTGTATATATCTTCCTATTTCATTTCGATATATCGAAGGTCAGAAGTTACGCAACTTCGACACTTCGATATTCCCGGTTCGTGCGTATGCTGAGATGTAAATGCACCTTCCATATTTAGAACATGCACGCACTACAGTTATTCATATTACGATAGAACATCTATCTCTGCAATGGTATCTTTCTCTAATTAGTTATTTGTATTATATATTAATATCGAAACGATGAAAATTCTTAATTAAAAAAATACTCACCCGCACTTTTGTCTAAGAAATAAGCAAGTAGACATCGCAGAACCGCTTGGTGGCTGACAACGAGAACATTACCCTGTCGTTCTAGCTCCATTATCACCGGTTCCAATCGTGCGACCAAATCTTCGTAACTTTCTCCTCTTGGATAACGATATGAGAATTTATTCTGATCTCGTGCGGCAAAATCTGTCGGATATTTTTCCGCAATCTCCTCGTAAGTCATTTCATCACAGATACCCTATGGGCATATGTGAGCCATTTAATCATTGTCACCACATAATGCACAACTGAATATACAAATGTTTCTTGCAGTTCACAAAACATTAGGTATTGCACAAGCTCCGTTCGTCATTTTTTCGTCGGGTACATAAAATAAGAATTTTATCACCGCTCGGTCCCCACTACGATAGTTGTCTATAGTGCATAAAGAAGGCCATCTTTTATTAGTCTAGCATTTAACAGGCGTACGAAAAAGATTCACTTTTAGACAAAGTGAAACATGAGAAACCGTCATAAATAACGTTGGAAAGCATTTGACAATGAACAGAACTTTTGCAACCATTTGATAAGTGAACCATGCCATTTTATTCATGTTCAAATAATAAATCTTCATTTGAAATGAAAGTATATAGATCCTTTGCCTTGTAGCTTACCGCGTCGATCTCGTTTAGCGCTTTCCACCTTTCCTGAGGCACATTTACGTCGTTTGCTGTTTGTATGGTCCTCTTTAACCAACTAGTCCACACTCGTAATCCCTGTAATTACGATAATTATATTCTCTTCCGTTGAACGCAACGTTCATATCTCTCTCCCATGCTATTCCTACCTGAATATCCTGGCTAGTGATGTAGCTAGCCAATGCTTTGGCATACTCCCAGCCTCTTTCGCTCAACACTGAGTCCCCGCCTATCTTACTTTCGAGATTCATCACGCTTTCGCCATGCCTAGTTAAATAGATCGTACGTGGCACTATATGGATGTTCATAAGGTAATAAACTATCCTACTTTGTATGTGACCCTCGTGCTTATGAACTAGCACTTTCTCGCCGGTGTTGTAAATCTTCATGAAGGATAGATCGCTTTCTTGATATTCGTCCAGTGGCTGATACTTCTCTTGATAGTGCTCGATTCGCAACATGAAATCTGCCAACACCTCTTCCTTATTCATGTTCGCATAATCCGGACTACTCACTTTTACCTAAATAAGCAAAAATTCTGTTTTAATGATCCATGTAACCAATAATTAATCCATAGCGGTCTAAATATACATTAATCGTTCATTCTAGATTGGCACTACAGCGATTATTTGGAATTTTAGATTCTCTCCGTACTTCCATGATATTCTGCTCAACGATATCAGGATCATTGCACACAGATTCTACGAAGAAGAGCTTGAAGCCCATCTTTTCAACAACAATGTCCCTGATCAGTTGGCGTCTCTCTACGGTGGAGTTAGTGGCGTCGAATACGGCTACCTCGCCGTCCCCACTCTCCAACCATTGACAGACATCCTTGAGTGCGTCCATTGCGCACTGGGTACGTATCGCCATCGCCTTGATATTGTCCGGACGAAAGAATTCGTGGCACTGATAGGCAGTAGTCGCGTGTCGCCTATACTCCCCTAGATTGAACACTTTTGTGATAATGCCGATCCAATTTAGGTATCTGCAGAGCTTCTTTGATATATACGTCTTTCCACGGGCCGGTAGCCCCACCATAGCGATCACATGGGGCTTATTTACAAAGTTAGCCCGTTCACCTGAAAGCGTTAACCGTTATTAGTAAAGGAAAATTAAAAAATATTTTTAAACTTTGCTGTAAGTAGAACATTTAATTAAATTCAACTTTTATAGGAAGGTAAAATTCAACTTAATTTTACATCAATTGGCGTCAAAAGAAAAATTAGCTTTTTCAAGTTTCAATTATCAATCCGCGATATCGTTTGACTTTCATATAACGACACACTGCAACCGGTTTTTAGTAATATCATTCTGGTATCTTGTCCAAGTCGTGCACGAAGCGTGCTTTTTATTTATCTTTACATTATATGCGTACTTAGATGTATATTTTTTATTTATCTTCATTGGTTTTCCTGGTGTATACTGATAGTACCGTCCTTCGCGCTTCAAACACGAGAAAATTATCACGGTTAATACATTGTTATTGTTCCGTTGCATATTCCGTCGAAATATTCGATAATTGAGGATAATTTCATGACTCGTGATTTATTGAATGAAACGTTTTATACGGTGGCTTAAACTCGTATGAAATCAGTGTATGTGCATTTTTCACGCAACTCACTCGACATGTTTTAGATTTATACGAGATCAGAATGAACTGGCTGTCCAAAGAAATTTACGCAATTCCGGGTCAGCGCTATTAATGACCAGTTGCCTATTTTCACCGACTATGAATACGGGAATAATAAAATTGAACTTGCAAATAAGGCAAGTCAGGTTGGATTCGATGCATTATAGTACTGTGGCTATTGTCATACAATGAAAAGACCGCATCTTCACTGCACTATTCACGGTTCAACCGATTACGGTTTTTTCGTGCGTAAACGATTTGTTATCTCTCGCGCTTTGCCAAATAATCTTACAACTCAAAAAACACGTAAACGTGCGCCACCATTTTTCATCACTATCCAATCTTTTCTGATTAATTTTATCGCAGCTGTTTTTAATAATCGACCAAAGACCAAGGTACAATTACAGGAAAAAACGTACACGAAAACGACAATTTACAGCGGTATAACTTTCACATGATTGTCAAATAGATGCGTAAACCGTTTACTTAAAAAAAAATCAATCGCCTCTGGAACTCTTACAATCGCCTCCCCGAAGCAGTATCGATACTTTATATCTTATTTACCAATTACAAATGTTTACAAGTGTGTTTTAACACTTGAATTATTAACACATTCAAGAACAAAAATATAAATAAACCTTTTTTGCATTATATACTCTTTCAAAATTCTGCAATAGATATATCTAGCGTTATATACACGAATTATTCACTCTTAGTAAATTTAATAAGATATATTGTACGCAATAGACTTTTAAGCATGCAAAGTAATGAACATGTTTTTGGTTTGTTCTTAGAAAACAAGAACCAATGATCGTTAAACATAATTATCAGCGTTACAAAATTTCCCTTGATGCACGAAGATTTGTTTTTGCACATTATATAAACAAGGCTATCAATACTAAGGATAAATCTTCGCGATCAAGGTCAAGATTAAGGCTATTCCTCATGGTATCAAATACAGCTTTGTACCGGTTTCAATCAGTTTCGCGTTACCATAAACTCGAGTCAGTTAACACGGTCCCTTGTCACATGCGTCTACGTAATCATGTCATTTGTGTGAATGCGTTACACGCGGTCTAACATGGTGCATCTTTGCAGGTTAGGTTCCTGGGCAGTGATCACACGATGCAACGATTCACGTAAAGGAATACACGAAATATAGAAAAGTTGCGAATAAATGACAACTCGTACAACAAAAACATATCAGACACACTTTGTGGTCTTTTGAAAATCACTCTTCTATTTCCTTCAAAAAGTTCAATAAACTCTATCATATTATTAGAAAAATAAAAAAAATAAGACTTCTTAATAAAATTCGTTAAGAACGAATCCCAATTACACATGTAGAAAGAAATGAATATCTTCCAAATAGTCTTACCACGAATAGGGAAAGGTTTAGTTTGAATGGTGTCCGAGCTCGGTGGTGTGTAATGCATCTCGATTTTCGGATCGGTCATCCTACGATACCACGTAGATGTTCCCTGTCTGATTAAACGATTGTTATTTCACTGATCTTCGTTCTTACTATGAAACAGTACACTCGGACTCTCAAGTGTCATCAAGCCAATACACGCTATTATGTGTCACTCATTAAAGACGCATGGATATTCGTCTATATATTCTCACTGTCACTGCGGCTCCATTCTATAATTCATATTTACAGAACGTCATCGTGCATTAATTCAACATTGTTGCGGAACCGGCAAAGAACACAGAAAGACAAAATGAAGAAAAAGTGCTGTAACTTCTCAAGTCTGTGACAAAGTCACTAAAGTGGGATAGAGAGAACAGCAACGCGCACCTACCATTCGCCGAAAAAGTCCGAACTTTAGTACTTACGCGTCGCGCTACACGCAGCCCTCGAATCTTAAAGCGATTATTATTACGTACGAACAGTGGTGCGGGGAAATCTTTTCACCAGTAACTCTCATTATGTGGCTCCGTTTCCTTTGATAAACAAGCTAATCCACTGATCCTCTAATTTATCAGAGAAACACGGAATCCCATTTCGCGAATGAGATATATTTTTCTTATAGAGTAATTGATCCGACGAGGAACAATGTCCACTTTGTTGAAAGAAAAATTAATTGTTCATGCAAACTAAATTTTTGACAAACACCACTGTTACACGAGATACCTCTGACCAGTCCGTAGCCTCGAGAACGATCACGCGACTTCTCTTGACGTCACCTTATTCTTTTCCAATTAATTCTTTCTGGTTCAATGCAGAAAAGTGGTAGGCAGCACTAACGAGGGTGCTTCATATTTTACTACACTTGTTGCAGATAATTTTTAGTAATTATATTAACAGATATACAGGATTCCATAAAAATGGGAAATTACGAGTGAAATCCCGTTCGTTTCAGCGACCAATAAGAGGCATTTGTGGATAGAAAAGTAGCGAATAGGAATATGTGATTGTGAAAAGGTTACCAGCATATGAAATAAATTTCTCTTTCAAATTTGTTTGACATACTTTAAGAAAGAAAAAAAGAGAGAAATTAAATTACACCAGAAATACTATCATTAATATCATGTATTTTGTATATTTTATTAGGCAGATTTTATTTATTTAAATAAAGTTTTTTTATTTTCATGAAAACAACTGTGAAATATTTCATTGACCTGTAGTAATTTTGTAAAAATATTTTTTACACTTATTATGTAAGAACAAAATAAAAATATATAAAAAAATGTTTATTTGATACTATGAAAGAGTTTAACTGCACTAAGCGCTGGTATTGCGGTACGAGAAGTTGCCGATAGGGTGCACGAGCACCTCTATGGTTAATTATCAGTACTATCAGTCGCGAACTAGTAAAGTAAAACGTGATTGCAGTGCTCTTAGAAAAAGCAGAGAAAATTGTTTAGTACACGCAATTTAGAAAGGTATTTACATAATTGAAGATTGTTATTAATTAAAACAGAAGCTGTGTGTATATGTATGGTCAGGTATAGTGTACGAATCTTTTGCGATTTAAACTCGGGTTGGACATTCCTAAAATTGGGCGTGTGGCACCGCCTTTTTCACTATTTGTCATTCGGATTTACGTATTTTTTAATCAGTTTATATTTCCTGTTCAATTAAATATAATAATGTGAATTGTAATTTAATTTTCATCAGAAAACACATACCTGCGTATATTTTAGATCAAGATTTCCCGTATTACGATTCGAGCGCATAACGCATAAACATAATGGAAAAATTAAATGCCACTGTGTACACCAATAACATCGTAGTGTTTCATTTACGATTTTTTATCTTTAGAAAGTCAGAATTAAATTTTATAATTTGTGCGTCACGATAATTACGTAGATGCTAAGTTTTTTTTAACAATTTATTCCAAGAAAGTCTGGTCATTGTTACATTTTTCTATTAGGAAATAATTGGTTGTTTAAGTTTTTATATTTATACCGTTTCTATCAGAAAATGCGGTTAAAAGTACACACACGCGCGCGTGTGTGCGTGTGCTATATGTGTGTGTGTATAGTTGTTTACCATAGTAAAAATTATGTTTGACTTTACTTTGATGCTATAAATATGATATCAAATCGATAGGTATAATTAATTTGTGCTATATAAATAAATGTAATATAAACTGAATATAGGTAAATGTACACTCCTGACCCTGTTTTTAGATTTCTCACACTGACAAGAGTAGTTTCACATCCTGCCTTTCTTAACTGTAATTTCCTTTGCTAATACTCATTTCTAAGATGAATTGTTAGTTCAGTAAATATGTGATAACATTTGTATTAAATATATGATTAAAAACTTTAATGTATGATTCCAGAGAAATAAAGCAAAATGTCAAAGAAACCAGGTACTACCCAAGCAATGCATAAAGTTATAATGGTTGGAAGTGGAGGTGTTGGAAAGTCTGCTCTTACATTACAATTTATGTATGATGAGGTACATGAAGCCTATAAAGAGCATATAAAAAACCTTTGTGCTATGTTACATGTTATTAATTCCTTATTTTCTGTTTACACATAAAACAGTTTGTTGAAGACTATGAGCCTACAAAAGCAGATTCTTACAGAAAGAAAGTTGTATTAGATGGGGAAGAAGTACAAATAGATATATTAGATACTGCAGGACAAGAAGATTATGCAGCAATTCGAGATAATTATTTTCGGAGTGGAGAAGGATTTCTTTGTGTATTTTCTATAACAGAGGATGATAGTTTTCAGGCCACTCAAGAATTTAGGTGAGTAATAACTTATTCAAAGTAAGAATTTGCATATATGTGTAATTCTTAAGACAAAAATATTAAATTTGTTTTATGTAGAGAACAGATCCTTAGGGTAAAAAACGATGAAAACATTCCATTTCTATTAGTGGGAAATAAAAGTGATTTACAAGAAAAAAGAAAAGTCAGTTTAGCTGAAGCTCAAGCCAGGTCACAACAATGGGGTGTACCATATGTAGAAACAAGTGCAAAGACAAAAGAAAATGTTGATAAGGTAATTTAATGATGATTCCAACTTACACTTTTCTATGTCCATGTACACTGTGTAGATGATAATCAGAAAAAAGATCCCTTAAAAGAATTGATGTTATTAAAAGTGTTTTGTTAATAATGATGAGATTTACATGTTTATAATTGTATGTAAAAAGTGCACATGCATCATCCATATTTTGTTATACCATTTCAAATATATATTATAGCTTTTAGAACACAGAAATTGCATGAGTCATACTTGTTTAGCTTAATTTGCAATTTACTGTATGTCTTTTTTTCTTTGCTACACATACATTTTATAGCTTACGCACAGATAAATCTTTGCAATGAAGAGATACTGGTACAAATGCAGGATTAGTACATATACATGTGTTGCATATTTCTTTTAATTCATAAAGCACCCTTTTCAAGCCTTAAAGCTTTGAGATGGCATCAATTGCACATTTCCAGGTATTTTTCGACTTGATGCGTGAAATAAGGTCGCGCAAGATTGAAGACAAATCGGCGAGCAACGGTCGTGGAAAGGACCGTGCCACAAGGAAGAAAAAGAAGTGCATTATTCTATAGGTTTGCTGTTTTTTGTTTGCACTGTTTTGTAATCGTATCGTAATGGAAAACTGGACGATGATTAGAAACTTTATATTCTTTTCACTTTTTTCTGAAATTTAAATAAGTATGTACATGTGCAATAATCAGCAGGTTACAATTATAGCAGAAATATCAACCTTACGCAAGAGTGTCTCTCACAGGCACGTACAAAAGAAGATTCCTTACGTAAATTTCGCTTGTTATGTTGATCCTTGCTTATGCCTGAAATACTGCGTATGCATGTACTACTTCCATTCAGTATCACGAATTGCAGGGGCACAGAGTGACTTCTTTCTTCCGTTTTTGAGATATTTACTTTTAAAACTGAAAGGAATGAAAATAAATTTGTAAATTTTCAGGTGAGATAGTGAATATAGCTTACCGCTACGCATGTTCATTTTGGCAATGCAAATATACATCACCATACAATATTTCTATTTTTCCAACACGTTTTGTATTACATCTTAGTTGTACCTATCTAACTGATAAAATTCAAATCAGAGATAAGAATAGGAAATAAATTTTATTTTTTATCTAAATATTGATAATAATTAGTAAAGTTCTTATAATGTTAATCGTACGAGTATTAAATAGATAGAAATATAAAATGAAAATCGACAGTTTCTCTGTATTACGTTGCAGGTATTCTTTGATTTAATGGGTGCAATTGCTGCACGTAAAGCACAGGAAAATCAAGGAGATGGAAACGAACGTAAGAAGAAAAGAAATTGCTGCATTTTGCTCTAACAAACATAAAAACAGCGCGTATAGCTTCTGTAACGGAACGTTCGACTCCTAATTGCAAAAACCTGAGTAAGAGAAGTGTATTTTATCCGCGCGCGCGCACACATACACGCGCGCGCGCGCGTGTCACATATACATACAGAAGAAAGTTTTCTAACACTTTACAGTGAATTGATACGAAGAAAAGATGAAATATTTACATTGAAAACACAAATTATGATATAAAAAGTTGTAAACTTTGTACTCTTTTTCATCAAATTATTAATTGATTAATTTGTAATGCACTGGTGCATTTAATCATAATTCGTACGTACTCTTATTTATTTACGTCATAACATCAAATTATGATTCAGAAAGAAATGTTTTCAAATAGGGCACAAAGTTACATTATTATTAATGAAATTATTTTTTAATTTTTCATTACTGTAGAGTGCTGAAATATAATTATTTAATCGAATACTACAAAAGAAAGAAAGAAAAAGACAAATAGGGCAAGGCAAGAAACATTTGTATACATACATGTTCATGTAATATGCAGGATGCGTTACAAATCAGTCCCCACAATTTTTTTGGCACTTCCAAACATGTGCCAAACAATGTTGTGAACAAAACTTAGTCAGTACTCAATCGGCAAGAAATTGTAGATTTGAAAATAGCCAAAAACATTCCTCTTCAATACAAAATGAAGATCATCATAATTTTTTTTAGATGAGACCACGTATTTTTAAGTTCATAGTATTATAGGCGATGTCAAGACGAGTTCAACGACCTAGTATACTATGACCTTGAATTCAAAAATCGTCACGAATCGATTGCCACGATATTTTACTTATTGTTAATTTGGTAATGCATGACGTCAACGCACCGCATTCAGGCGAAAACAAAGTGAAAAACATGTACGAGATAATACAAATTTAAATTAACAAATTTAATTAAAATTAAATTTTATTTAGGACGTACATGCAATTATTTAAAGTAAATGTTCGAACTGCATCTCACCTTCTGCAACATAAAATCTTGCTCTTTGTAACATATTCGGATGTGTAGCTTCCATTAAAGAATAAGTTTGTACCTTCTACATGCTTGTATTATGCGTTTTTTAAGATTTTCGCTGCTTCGACGTTATCTATCGTTGGTCATTAGGTCAAATATCGTGGCAATTGATTCGTGATCATTTTTTAATTCAAGGTCATCAGAAGGTCATAGAATTCGCCTTGACATCGCCTATAATACTATGAACTTAAACATACATGGTCTTATTTAAAAACATTATGGTGACCTTCATTTTTTATTGAAGAGGAATATTTTTAGCTATTTTCAAATCTACAATTTCTTGCCGATTGAGTACTGACTAAATTTTGTTCAGAACATTTTTTTGTCAGATGATCAAAAATGTCAATAAAATTGTGGGGACTGATTCGTGACGCACCCTGTATATGTTCATGTATACAATGCAGGGTGTTCACGTTATTACTAGCCAGCATTTTTCTCGTAAATGGTAAGTATTAGAAGAAAATGAAAGAGGAAAAGGTGCTGCAGTTTTCTATGACCAACATAATAGTGTAAATCAATGTTTTATATTTGCAATATTTTTCGAGAAACGAAGGTGAACTTTAATTTTTTAAATGGAATGCTGCATATTTTTTTTATATTATGTGAAAGCATGTAACAAGACGAATTCATCCATCTGCTATACAATGGCCGTCAGGGTCATACAAGGTCAGAAATGAAAGAAATATTTCGAATATTACGTACTAATGTGTTTACAGGTACTCTTTCCTGACAAGGCTACAGATGCTCTTGTGTATGAATGCACATTTCAGCTTTATGAATTACATTTTTGATAGCTTCTACTAATGTTGTCCGAGATATTATTGCACATATTTACGTTATTTTGCTTTTTAAGTCGTTTACATCTTTGGGCGATGTATCGTAAACGTTTATGAAGTAATTCTGAAATTGTCTTGTAATTGTAGAAGCAAAAGAAAACACTCTGACAGTGAATGACAACAAAAAATCAGTCACATTTAACGAGCTAAGTCATATCAATAAATACTTGTAAACACATTAGTACGTAATATTCGAAATATTTCTTTCATATTTGACCTTGTATGACTCTGACGGTCATTGTACAGCACATAGATGAATTCGTCTTAATACACGCTTTCATATGACATAAAAAAATATGCAGCAATCCATATAAAAAATTAAAGGTCAGCTTCGTTTCTCGAAAAATATGGCAAATATAAAAAATTGATATACACTATTTCGTTGATCATAGAAAACTGCAGCACCTTTTCCTCTTTCATTTTCTTCTAATACTTACCATTTACGAGAAAAACGCTGGATAGTAATAGCGTGAATACCCTCTACATGTATATACATGTATACAGGGTGTTTCCGAACTGGTGATACAACCCGAAGAAGGATGAATCTATACGAAAAAATAATTCAAAAATGTAGTGTAAAATTTTATCATAGGAAGCTTCATTTCCAAATAAATCAGTGTTGAAGATTCGTCGAGTACGCGTGCATTTACACTTTTGTGAACGTTTTCTGTAATATTTTCTATTTTACAATATTCGAATACCAAAATAATTTTCTCTTTGAGCTGTTCCCTACGTTCTCGTCGTAGTACACAAGAGACTTGACATGGCCCTATAAGCAAAAATCCATTGATGTCAAGTTCAGGGATCGTGATGGCCAAGTTGTTTTATCATTACAGTCGATCAATACTTTTCTGCTTCTTACTTTTATTTCATTGTTTATCCTTCACTGTCTAATGTAATAAATTCAAACAGCAATGCAGGTAGTTTGTAATGATATCTGTTAGACGAAGGCGTACGTGAGATCATGTGTAAGTGTACACGTAGTCGACGAATCTTCAACTTTGATTTAATCAGAAAGGAAGTTTCGCATGAAAAAATGTTACTCTACATTTTCGCATTATTTCTTCATGTAGATTCACTCCTTTTCAGGTTGTACCACCAGTACGGAAACACTTTGTATATTATGCACAATGTTTCGTGATCATTCAATTATAGTTAACAAAAAAAGTTGTTGCAAATATTTATTATAAAAATGCTGTAATTAATTTTTATTTGCAAATAAAATTACTATATCTTCATTAACGTATTTTGTATATTTCCTTGGAACCTTGAATTATTTCAGCACTCTTGCTTTAAGTTACTATCTGTTAATAAACTATTAACTGATTCATTTTATTTAAATTATTTATTTCCTAAAGAAGTGGTCACAGCATTGTAAAGTAAAGAAAACGTGGTAATTAATCCACAGTTTGCTTATTATTTGTAGTATTTTATAAGTCTATTTTACAGTATACAGTTATGTACAAATGTAATAATTTGTTATTTTTATATTAAGATAACTTTGGATTTTGGAAATTGCAAATACCAATAGAGTAATTGTATTTACACCTATAATTCTAGAACATTAAACAATTTGGTTTTAACTTTAAAATAAAAAATGTTTTATTTTTAAAAGCAATATAATTTAAATATTAAAACTTGCCCCGTTATAGAGGGGTGTATATTTCTGTTGTTGAACCAAGAATCTAATTATAAGAAAAATATTGTCTATAAATGGATAGACTTCAATAGACTGAGAACATGATTAAACTGCTTATCAGAAAGACTTGAACCTCTATGAGGTGCATTTATTTATGCAAAAATAAGAGAATCTTGATATTATATTTACAATTTTATAACACACACACACACAACGCGCGCGCGCGCGCGTGCGTATTATTAAGTATTCAAATTTTACAAAATTATAATTTGGAAGATATTTGTTAGTAATAACTTTTTAGAGAATAAGTCATATTGTTTGTGTATTTGAGTTTTGATATTTTTGTACTATTGAAATTAATTGTGCCTTTTAAGTGTTCACTGTTGACAAATTGAGATTAATGATATAATAGAATTCTTTAAAAGTGTTTACCAGTATGAATATAAATGCAAATAAATTTCATCCTACAAATATTTAACATCATTACATACAACAGTTACACTCCCCCCCCCATGCATTATCATTGTTCTGTTATAAATTAAATTATTTTTATGTAATTATCGTGCACTGTCATCTATTAGTTAACTATTGTATGTCTATAGTTTTTAATAAAAAATATTTTGTACAAGTTAGAAAAGCTATGTTGTATATGATTTTTGTATTATGCGTTTTAAAAGGATAAGAATGTATTAACAGTTAGAAAATTAGTCAAACTATGTGGAATATACATAAACATATACATATGTCATGTCAGTGCAATGTTACATACATTATTTTGTGTGCACAAAATTAAATAAATGTGATAAAATTAATATTTTAATCCTGAATTTTTTATTTCTTAATAATTTGCTACTACTTGTTTCGAATTGGATTCACATTTAAAATACCACAATATATCTCTTCGATAAAAGGCCAACAATTACAGTGGCTTGTACTTTTTAGACACCCGTTATATCAAGTGAAAGGTAACTGGACAATATTTTCTAACGACCAATCCGAAATTTTAACACATAGGAATTTTTCATTATCACTACATTTTACTAACATGCAAATTTACTATTTATCATTTGCAAAGCAATAGAAAAAATGAACGTAAAAGTATCAGATTTAAACGACAGTGTTTAATTAAAAAAAATATGTCTAAGGTTAACGAATGCTTTTAACGAGGAGAAGGTAGTACCGTTACATAGAGATGTGCAGTATATTATCTTTCTTTATTATTTCAGATAAAAATATTAGAATAATATGTTCTATTTTTGTTAACAAAGTTTCATAAAGCTACAAAAAAATGAGTAGCGTTAAACTTGATGTACAGTGGTCTCCAGTTCATGCTAATAAATTTATCACATGGGGTACAGAAATTTGCTTATATGAAGTAATACAAGTAAAAGACAATAATAGACAATTGTGTGAGTAACTGTATCTTGTAAAATCTATTTGAACTTAACTAGAGGAGTAGGTAATTTTACTTTGTTGCAGATACAAAGATTTCTGACTCTACTGTTGCTCATTTACTTGCTACAAATACAAATCATCATTATGTTAAATGTATTGATATATATCCACAGCTAGAACCAGACATTCTATTAGCTGTTGGACAAGCAAATGGAAAACTTGTTCTAACAACTTTTGGTCCAACAATTTTTGATTCTCAAGGCCTTAGTGGAAAAGAATTAGGTAAATTATTTCAGTGAATTGTTGCATATATGTTATTTAAATTTGTAAATTGTTATAGTTCCCAAACATGCAAGACAATGTAACACAGTAGCTTGGAATCCAATAGATACAAATTTAATTGTATCTGGCTTGGATAAGCATAGTAAAGATCATTCCATTTTATTATGGGATATAAATAAGGCATTGCAAGGTTCTGAAAGAGTACATCATCATAATACAGTGCAAACAGATTCTATTAGACCTATTGCAGAAGTTGGTGTCTCTGAAACCGTTCATTCCATTGCTTGGTTTAAACATGAACAGAAATGTATGGTGGCTGGCACCAACAATAAGCAATTGAAAATTATTGATTTTAGAGGTATTATTGATAGATAGTGCCATTTCAATATTACCATACATGATATGCATTAAATTATTTTATACTAGATTCTGCAAAGGTAATTAACACAGCAGCAACCAAAGCAGTTTATAACGTGTCAGTTAATCCACACAATAACTATCATCTAGTTTCAAGTATTGATAATCAGATAACAATTTGGGATACAAGGTGCTTTGAAAAACCTGTTTTAACATTATCTCAAAGTAGACAAATTACAAAAGTTTTATGGTGTCCAACTAGACACAATCTTCTGGGAGCTTTACAAAAAGACTCAGGTAGAATGCAGTTTTATTTCATTACAAATTTAATTAATCAATAAAGTTGATATTACATGTTCCCATTATTTTTAATAAAGTGACACTGCACTTATATGACATTCAACACTGTGGAATTGGGGGTGGAGAAGATACAGAACCTGGAGCATTAGAAAGAACAGTTGCACCACCTTGGCATAGCCCTGTAAGTTTCTCATGGCATCCAACACATGTGAACAGATTGTTGGCAATATCTCAACAAGGTTTGATTACAATATAATATTATATTGTTAAATCATAAAAATAATTCAACAAATTTTGCCAATCTGATCTTGTCTTTTTAAAGGCCTCACAGACTATACAGTTTGTGAAAGGATAACAGTAAACTGGTCAACAAGATCTCATCTTGCCTGGAATCATGCTTCCAAATCGTTTAAATATATATGCAGTAATGATAACATTTACAAAGCTCTGGATGATATTTCTATTTTAACTAAAACACGCGCGGCTTCAGAATATGGATTACTTGTAAGTTGTAGAAATTTACGATTTGTACTGTGTAAGAGTTTTGATATGTACATATGTTTATAGCCAGAGCTGGCTCAGAATGGTGAATTGGCCGAGAATGACACCCTTAAGAACCTATGGCAGTGGTTATATTTAAGTCGGTACTTAGTAGAAGAGGGTACTATACCATGCCAGGATAACAAGCATCCAGGTGTCAGGTAAATTAAGGATTTTCTAATCTTATATTCAGAAATATACAAAGTAATGTTTGTTAACGTTACATAGAACAGTTTTGAAACTAGATGGCCAGCAAGGATCTAATAATGGTTTCTTAAAATCGGAACTAATTCATCGTCCCTGGTCAGATATAGGATCTAATCACACTGCAAAAATTTACAGGTATGAATCACTTGTGATGCATCGTATCAATGTTTGCAATAAAGCGTTATGTTGTAGATCTGCGGATAGAGACAAAGGACTACTTCTATGTGGTTGGAGATTCGACAAAGATACCAATAGCTCTTACGATAACTTATTTTTAGAAAGATTAGAAAGAGAAGGGGCATATCCAAGAGCAGCAGCAATAGCAGTATTTAATTTATGCTTAAGACAGGCCATAGAAATTTTAAATCGAGGTGCTAGTAAAATGGTAATGTCCACAAATTTAAACATCGTTGCTATGGCTTTATCAGGATTCTCTGAAGACAGAAATAGCATGTGGAGAGACTCATGTTTAAAATGTAGATCACAACTTTCGGATCCTTATTTGAGAGCAACTTTTGCTTTTTTAACGGCGGACGATTCTTATGAAAATGTTTTAGTAAGTACACATAAGTGAATTAAAATAGTATGTATTATGTATGTACTAAAAAATAAATATTTATAGAATGAAAATGGTATGGCAGTCGAAGACAGAGTAGCGTTTGCACTTATGTTTCTATCAGACAATAAATTAAGTGAATATTTAAAAAAATTGACACAAAAGTTAACAGACGAGGGAAATTTGGCTGGTTTCCTTTTAACAGGTTCAACTTTATTTTCTTACATAATTTACTAAGCAACACCAGGTGTTTTACTTATAATATTTATTCATTATATATCCTATCTTAGGTGCCAGTTTAGAAGGTATACTATTATTAAATCGATACTTAGAAATTACTGGTGATGTTCAAAGTTGTAGCTTGATAGCTATCAGGGCATTCACACCAAAATTACTTAAAAGCAACCAAGTTCAAGTTTGGATTACTAGTTATAGAAACCTTTTAAACGCGTGGAAAATGTGGACTCAGAGAGCTCATTTTGATATTGCTATGCGATCTTCGACAAACGAGAAGCCTCCGCAACAAATATATGTCTCTTGTAATTTTTGTGGTAAAAGTATATCTGTATTTATGCAGGGTTTAAGTAGAGCAAGGGGACCTTTTGGTAGATTAGGAAGTACACCCAATAAATTAAAGGTATTACGTTTTCTCTTGAATATTTGATAAATTATAATTGAAGTACAGTAGACTCCCTCTTAACAGACCTCTGGCCGGTTAATCCGAAAATATATGCCAAATATTATTTAAATCATTTACATATAAAATGTAAACTGGTTCACTGAGTGTGAACCAAATACAGTTAAAAAGTTACAGGATCATTACAGTGCACTGTACTCGTTCTTAGAATCTTTGCCACGTTACGTGACAAGCAGAATATTAAATTTTGGATAGAACCTTAAAAAGTGATAAAAAAGATTGAATTACAATATTCGACTACAAGAACAGAACTCTTCAGTTAAATTCTTCACATTTTCAGCTTCTTTTTTATTTTATTTCAAAATTAAGTCCGAAGAATGTACTCATTCATTCGATTGAAGTTTTCTTCTTGATAAATACTGTGAACCATGTAACACGAAATGTGTCAATTGTTTTCCTGTTGGGACTTCTAACGAAAATGTGACCGGACAAGAGGGAGTATACTGTATTTAGAATAAAAATAATAATTTTGTGTTGGTTTTTAGATGTCTTCATGCCCAAATTGTAGAAAACCATTACCGCGATGTGCAATTTGTTTAATGCATATGGGTACTGTAAGTGGATTGCAGATGACAACATCTGGAGTCAGTAGAAACGAAGAATGCGATAATAAACTAACCGAATTCAGTAATTGGTTCACATGGTGTCAAACGTGTAGACATGGTGGACATGCTGATCACATTACGCATTGGTTTCGGTAATATATTTTAATACTATGCTTTTTACACATTTTTTTCTATTAAATAATTTATTGTCGTTTTTAAACAGACAACACTCAGAATGTCCAGTAACTTCGTGTACATGCAGATGTTTTTCTTTAGATGCATCGTGTAAAATAGGAGTGGGTATATCATAAACAGAAATTACATATCCTCAGAATTTTGACTAATACTGACAATGCCCATTATAGTTTTAGGATATCATTTTGTATATTTCTTGGAACAGCATGAATGTTAGGAGCAAAGGATAATGAATTTTGTGTTTTATTAATGAGATACTAATTAATTTTGTTATGAAAAAAATGATGTACTGTTAAAAAAATATACATATAAAAGTAATTGTATTCTTATAAAAAGTTCAGAAAAATTGCTGTTATAACTTAGAACCCTGGGTCATCCTCGTGCATTCTCCATTTTTTTGGTCCTAATACATTTAAAATGACCATTAATTCATTATATTGATCAGGATCTGCAATAAGCAATTTTATTCATATACACCTTGCAATGTATATATGATAGAAAATTAAATTGTGTCTTTACCAAATTGCTCTGTCATACGGAGTGGAAATACTATGTAGCTACTACAATTCATTGTCGATTTTGATTGCAAAGTACCATGTACTTCTATGTAACCTTCAGCACTGCCATCAATAGGTTCTGGTAAAGTTACATTAACTTGTACACCATCAGTTGTTCTTAATTCTAAATTGTTACCGTTTGAACTTTTCTAATGATCGAAGTAAAACAATAAATTAATGTCATAAATTTTTACAAGATAATGACAGTTATCTTGACAATGGGTAATTATATTTATACATTTTCCTTCATTAATATTGCAAGAATCTTACGTTTATAATAGTTCCAAGCAGAATAACTTGTTCTCCAATATTTTGTGCAAGTCGATGACCATCAATACGCTTTTTCATCATTTTCGTTGTTAATTAAAACGTTTACTTTTTTAAGTGCTTAGATAGAAATGTAGGATATTTAGAATGATTTATGTATAGTATTTTCAAACAGCCAACAAAGAAAATTGTAGGACCTATAAAAAATATATAGGGAATGTTTATGTTAAAATTTTTATACTGTTGCGTGGGTTCTTGGGGAATTTGCGCACGTGGAGCGCCAAAGCACTCTGTTCACGATAGTTTAAGAAATTTAATGAATAAGGAAAAATCTAATGTTGAAACTTTTAATAACTAATAAATAACTTGATTGAAACAAGAATAAACGAAATGTTTAACTATAACTTTATTACAAGATAATACGTCTGAGCTCTTTGAACGAGGAAAATTAAATGAATCGTCAGGCGTCGTTGATTTCATCATCTTACATGCCTTTGTCTTACAAAAGTCTCCAATCAAATTAAAGATTCTATACAACGTTTTTTGAGGATGAATTAGATTGGTTCTCATCATTTGTTTTTCGCTTCGGCTACACTGCCGCACAATTTGAATTTAGCGTGCCTTAACATTCACACTACGGGGCGCCACATGACACCAGATTCAGATCGCCCTAAAGCCGCATTTACGGGCGAGCACGACGAGTGATTAAAACTATATTTTGTGGTAGTCACGGGAAAAGGGAACGTGAGTTGGTGCCCGTGAGCGCAGAAGCGCTCTGCTCGCTGTGGTGCGGGAATATTCAAATGAAACTTGGAAGATTTTTCGTTGCAACTAGTACATTTATATTTTACAACAGTTTCAAGACCTTTTAAGATCAACGAGGCTTCAAGATTCGAGATATAGAATTGGAATGAATGACTTGGGAAATTTTTTGACGCGAAGTCTTTCTTCTTCCAGAATCTGGAACATCCCTTGGTCGACCTTCCAGATCTGGCGGCCCAATCGAGAGATCGACGCTTCTTCTCCCACACGTACTCCACCCCCGATCCTTTGTTAGTAGATGGTAGTGGCAGCGCTTCGTTGGCAGTGGTGAAAACGCAACGCCGATGTAACTGCCAACGTGATGTGCACGTGCAAGGGAAAGTGTGTACATAGCGATTCGCGTGAGAACTAGCTCTTGACAATATTTATGGCCCTTTTAGAGTTCTAGCTAGTTGACTCGGCTAGATATCGTTGAGATACAAAACAGAACGAAGAGCATACATTTCTGAGTCCCAAAATAAACATCCCATCGAGAAAGTCTATGTGGCTTAAACTTAAACTCCCAATTGATTAAAGTTCTTGAATAAAATCTTTCGACTACAATAACAAAGCATTCCGTTCCCGAGTTCTAACTTTCCATCGCCGTACCACGCATCTAACCCTTAGATAGCTGTGCGCGTCGATCAATCAGTGATGCCAGAATCGTAGGCCGTGGACAGCGATCTCTCTACTTAGATTAAGACCACCTTGAAGCTATATTCACGAGTATGCATGACGAGTAATTAAAGCTACGTTCACGTGAAACGTAACAATACAAATTGGTTTATAGTTTTATATTTTGGATAGTTCTTAACCAATTACAAATGCCCACGTATGTCTAAATAAGAATATGTACGTACATATCCAGGGCTCATAAAATAATTTTTCTTTAAATTAATATACGAAAATATTCAAGGCTCTATTTGTATTTATTTTTCACAATATATGTATATAATATTGAAATGATGCTTACCATATGTACTTGAGCGTTAAATGTAATCCCTAGAATTTAGGGAGTTCTTTTAAAGTGTTGGTAAGCATTAGTTATTGTATGTGTGAGGAGTAGCATTTTGAGTTTAGCCATCTAAAATTTTTGCTTCTATGCACTTTACTTATAGTCGAAGCGGCTTCTTCCATTCGTTTTTGGGTCTACGTTACGTCGTGTTGAATGAATGGTTCTCGAACAAGTCGAAGCATATTATTTTCGTGATTTTGCATTAGTACTTATCGAAAACGGAGTACTAAAGTTGCAACGCACTTATCAACGAAGGTAAATATTTCTGAGATCGTTTAACATGTCAAGAAATAACGTCTATGTTTTATCGACAGAATAACAATGGCTGCAGTGCGACATTTAAAATTATTTTTCTCTCCTAGTGCGCATAGTGGTTAAAATCGTTGGGTTTTATACTGTACTGATCACCATCGAAATTTATCAGACATCCACTGTTTTTATCATTCTTAAAATTACATCGTGCATTATTGTATTATGAATATATATTTTTCATAATTTGTCACTGAATAACAGGCTGTTTTTATAACATAATCCGGTAATATTGATGCTGTAGATATGACGAATATATTTTTTACAGATTGTAGTTAATAGAAAATGGAACAAGAATCAAGACGTAAAGGACCACGGAGTCCTAGTGCAGATTCAGAAGACTCATCTCACAGAAGAAGGTCAAGGAAATATGACCGATCTCCATCTCCAAGAAGAAGCAGATACCGTAGATCTCGTTCTAGAGATAGGAGATCACGTTCAAGTTCCAGAGATAGAAGAAGAAAAGATTCCAGCCGTTCACAGCAAGAGTGGAAACAACAAGCTGCATCCCAGTCTCAAGCCTCAACTCCAAATCCCACTAATCCTGGTGGTTATGTTCCAGCAGTTCATAATCAATATCAGGTACAATTAAGGATAAATAAGAAAAAAATAGAGATAAAATTAGCAGAACATATAAATAATACATTTATTCTATAGGCTCCTCCACCTCCAAATACCAGTCAACCACCACCACCTTTGCCAGCTTACAACCAAGGATACAACAACTACAACTACAGCTATGGACAAGGCTATGACTACAGTTATCAGCAACCAACTAGTTATCGCAGTGTAAGTTTTTTAAGAGAAAACAAATGTATTAGTTAACAAGAGTATATTCTATGCGAATGATAATCTTGTTTTGTGGTAATTAAGATTGTGTTGCAATCAAGGCATTACAATTGAATTTCATCACTTTTGGAGTATCACCTATACGTAGGTTTGATCGCGTTGTATGAGTTTGTGAAAGTAACTAAGACATTATACAAACTACCAAAGTGTTTTTTGATAATATTTGGTAGTATTGTTAATTTTCGGGGGATGAACTTTATGTTCTTTTGCATCGCGAAGTATTGTGAATCCCCTCGTAAGTATAACGTTCGCGTTGTTTATTTTATTGGCATCGACATTGGAAACCAGTATTATTGACCAGATGATTCATCTTCAAGAATCTTCCGTGTATTATCCAAAGTTCTGATTTGAGTATGGACAAATAAAGGTAAGGTTTGATAGAAATATTGTTTGAGTATTTGACATCAAGTATCTGTTTATTTTGTTAGGATTATCCACCACCAAATTGGCAGGGGAATCAGGTACCTTATAACAATCAACAACCACCACCACCACCCACATTAACATCCCAGCAAGAATCCTCAAGACCAGTGGACAGTAGTTCCTCTGGATTAGTATCATCCTTAGCAAGACCAGAAGATGCCAAGAAGGAAGGTATGTTTTCTGAATTTATTTTCACTAAAATGTTCCAAGTAGTAACAGTTTTTAAAATCTCCTGAAATTTTCCTAGCAGCAATTGCAGCTGAAGTAAAACAACAGAAAGCAACTCTGGCCAAACAACGCGAAGAATATGTTAAGAAATCTGCTACGTTACAACGCGAGCTGGAGATTCTGCGTCAACAATGCGATGAAATTGGTAAAGAAGGTGGACGAGAAAATAATCGTATTATCAAAGAAAATCAAAAGTTACAGGTACATAATTATCAAGCAATGCGTACGTTAATATATTTTCATAATATTTGATCATGCGTTAATATTTTTATTCATTCACAGATTGAGATACAAAACAAAATGAAATCGATACACAACGTTATTGATATGCTTACCGGAATTATAGGAGACAAAGCTACTGTTGATGATCTTAAGAGCAAGTTTAAGTTAGAAATTAACAAACGTTCAAGGAGTCCCAAAGAAGACTTTCCAAAAGGGAAATCGGAGTCGCCCGACAGATCGTCGGCGTCCGACTCTGACAAGGAATCGAAAATTGATAGGGACACGAAAGAACGAAGGTCTCCTGAAGATTCTAAACCTATGTACAATTTCGTGCATTATGATCCAGAAATGCATTGGTGTAAAGTCTGCGATATATTTCCTAAAACGGCAAAGGAATATTTGAATCATCTGCATAGCAATGAGCACAAAGAAGCTTGTTTAGTAAGTTGCCTGTTATTGCAATAAATAGTGTCCTTAGTACGAACGACTTCTTCAGCTTTTGGTATTAGGTACTTTCCAATAATCTCAATGTAGAAATCTCTAATTGAAAATCATTTTTTTCATAAATAACTTTTGTAATCATTAGTACAGGATGCAGAAAAATGTAACTGATTATTGATTTACAATTGTGAGAGAACAAACGGATTCGGTTAAGACTATATATTTCTAATTTGAAACTATATTTGTATAAGGATGATATATTACAGTAATGATCGACGTGCAGGTACTTGGTACATAGTCCTGATCAATGTACCATAAACAATGTCTCATTAAAAAGTACCACCGAGTATTTTGTTACAGTTTTGTAGCAAATGTTGTCATTAACGTTTCCTTCCCTGCAACAGGAACGCAAGATAGTTGATATGCCATGGCATGAGCGGAATGGAGAGGGAACGGAAAAGGAAGTGCCCTATTATCCTGGACTGCCGACGAAAAGAACACCTATTAAAGGTATGGTTCATTTCAGTGGATAATTACTAATAGAATACAATTCCGTAGCTTGTGCACAGACACTGTGGTGTCCGGTATGTATTGAAGAGATCTACGGCTATGGTTTGCTAAAAAATTTGTCTGCATTAACATACACACGTAGTATCGAGTCATGATATCGAATTACGTATTGAAAAAAAGGGATGAATATTTGTGCATCAAATATTTTTTGCTTTTCTCTTTTCTTCGAATAATTGAAAATAATACATCACTGAATATGAAAACCTTTTTTTTACGGAAACATAAATCAGTTTTATGATTTTCCATATAGTACATGGAACAATACTTTTTTGTTTTGGAAAAGTGTCTGTTCATGTCACATAGTTAGCAGCAAATTTTGTAGCAACAATATAAAACACCATAGAGATGCACTGGATTTTAAAATGGACTTGAGGAGCACACTTTCGGGCGATTTCAGATCTTTTAGCTTCTATAATATCGAACTAGTTAAAAATTATTCTTCGCAAGTGTAATTGTTCGTCGATTCGTCGCATCTAGGTCCATTTACAGTCAAGAATGAACAACGGAAGATTTAATCGATGTGAAATTATATATAAATATGTCCATAAAATGTTGTCATAATGCTAGTGCGTGTATAAATACAAATAACGTATATAGTTATACAAAAAAATGTGTAAACTGTGATAATACTCGCTCGTGTCATTTATTTTATTTGATATATTTGTTATATTTATAAAATATGTTTATGGCAAATATATTATAAATCAAGATATTTTTGTGAAACCTACTGTAAATGCCAAACGTTTTTTTTATCGATGTATAGAACTTGAAAAATTACCATATTTTAGTGTGTAATCAAAATTCAAAAAGAATGAAAAAAAAAAATATAATAGG